CTTCAATTTTATTGTTGCAGTGCGAAATGGGATTGTCAAGCAGACAAACTGACCAACACTTTCATGAAAACCTGTCATAAATGTGCACCTGACAAACTCCGCTACAGTCACTAAACTACTTACGTATATTGTTAAAAAATAAACACAACACAGAGGGAAACATAACTCAGAAATATTTATTTTAAGATGCAACAACAACAACAACAAAAAAAAAAACGTACACTTGATTTTTTTTTTCTATGAAACTTGATTAACTTTTCTGTTTGGAAGATTAATGGCTACAGTCACTAAACTACTTACGTATATTGTTATAATCAAGCCGGACAACTTTCTAATTTACAGTCATTAGCTACGACCAACAGGAAGTCTGCTATATTGATTTGAATGTGGATTTTTGGAAAAATATAGCTGTGAATGAATGAATACTCCTCAGAGGACAATTATGCTATACACACCAAACTTTGTCTACATGATGCCAAAACATTGAGGAACTTATATTGCGGATGGATTTTGGATAGCTTGAATGGTTTTGCCGTGGTGATTTGTTAAAATAACAGGAAAAAAATGACAGAGTATTTGTGATGTATTGTTAAAATGCAGCTTCCAAACGGTTCAAAACTTTTTACATTCATAGAACAAGTCATTCTGAGGAACTAGTCACACAACGCTCTATGGATAACAGAAAATTATAAAACTGTAAGACATCTGATCTCACTCACTCTGCCACTCTGCCTGTGTGAGGAATGGAGGAAGTGGGGGCTGGGTGAGTGTGTGTGTGTGTGTGTGTGAAAGATCGATACTTGGCGTCCGTGTATCGATACAGTATTGCCGCGGAAAATATTGCGATACTATGCTGTATCGATTTTTTCCCCCACCCCTAGTCTATATGCTGTGTTCTGTTAATGTGTGAACTTCATATTGTTTGAAGCGAACTTGCCATCCAGTAATCGCAAAAAAGCTTTGTGCTTTGTTACTTTTTAATAAACAAAGTATCAGCTTTAAAATTATGCCAAATATATAACGAAATTCAAACAATAAATACGGGTTTGACGCTCTTTAATGCAGCAGGCGTGATCGGTTTAGCGCCTCAGTTCAAGCGGCAAGTGAACCCATTCTCTTTACTACTATAGACATATGACAACATTTACAGGATGCATTGAGGAGGAGCCCAAACTACACTCAGTGGCCAAGTGATGCTTATGGTCCATGATATTGGTACAGATTCTGTGTAATGAACAATTCTTTGTGACTGTATATTTCAAGTTAGTGAACCTTAGTTCCCAGATCATCTACAAGAAGTAGGGATGCACCGATACCACTTTTTCCAGTACTCGCCCGATACCGATACTTTTATTTTTGGTACTTGCCAATACCGATGCAGATACCGATATTTTTATTGCATTTGTAAATTTTTTAAATATTGGGTACAGAAACCAAAATGTTATGTATAATGTTATTTGGTTAACTTCATTTACAGTCCAACCAAAATTTATTCAGACAACTTCAACATTTCTCACATTATCACGGTTTATTCGCTATAGTTTAGAAAATGGTAATAAAATATGACAAGAACTCAGAGTTAAACTATGTCAGAACAAATTCAGCTTGATAATGTTAGATAACTTTGATAGAAAGGTATGTAATAGATTACAATCAACCAAAATTATTCAGACAGCTGTTAGCATGACAGTATTTACACAACTATGAATACTTAGTCGGGCAGCCCTTAGCCTCAATAACAGCCTGTAGTCTCCTGGACATGCTGTCACCCAGCTTCATGCAAACCTCAACTTCAATGTTTTTTCCCAGATTCGGTCTGAATAATTTTTGGACCCAAATTTGTATAAATTTTACTGGTAGTCCACTGTATGAATAATTTTCGGGTATGATTTGCCACAGTTTACTTTATTTTGCTATCCTCACTTACAGAAATGAACTAGTGTCCTGCACCCACTGACGTATCCGACCGAACTACAAACTTTCCAGTGATGTCTGAGAAAGGTATATTCACTCGACAAGCTCGTGCATCTGCGCCGCCGTGCGCTCAATCCACGCAGTGTGCTTTGCTTATCAGCTCGCGCACATCAGCTATACAGGCGTTAATACTGAATGTTTAACTTTATATTCATTGCATACATATATTTCGCAGTAGACATCCTTAACTCCATTCTGTTGTTCTGTTGTCGGTGTTTCTATGTCTGAATATGTAATTTATCACATGCTGTGTGGTATCGGCGTTTGGTATCGGGGCATTTTAACGAGTACGAGTACATGAGTTCAGTATCGGTATCGGTGCATCCCTAACAAGATGGATTAAACTGCTGATAAAGTCAAGAAAAGCTGAGACATAAACATATGACAGTATGATTGAAATGTTAAAATGTAAAACAATAAATAAACAATAATAAAATAAATAAAACATGTTTATTCTGTGGCACATAACAAAATATATTTTGGCGCCCATGTTTTTTGCTTGGGCGCATTTTTACTCAATTTTTTTGTCTGGAGCCCTGTTCTTCTTCCCCAATGGTGACATAAAAAAAAAAGTATCATTCTGGTTGGCTAAAAATACAGAATGATGTTAGATTAAATGTTTTCACGTGATAACATACCTTTAAAGTTTATTTTATTTATTTTTTATTGTTGCATTTTAGTATTGTGATACATTGACACATTGTTATACCCTTAATATATATATATATATTTATTGCTTTAGATTTTTCTGCTTGCATTACTCAATGAAAATTAGATTTTTATTTTTGCATCACACTGATGTGAAGGTGATGTTTTTATTTATTTTTTTAGATTATGTAATGAGAATGAGATTTTGTTTTATATAACAGTAATGAGAATAATGAGGTGTGTTTGCATTATGTAATGAGAATAAGATTTGTTTTATGAAATTAAGTGTTTTTGCATTGCAGTAGTGAGAATTACCTACAGTAACTAATGAGAGAGGATTTTTTGCGTTATGTAATGAGAATGAGATTTTTATGACATTGTGGAAAAGAGAATGACATTAATTAGAGACATGATTTTTGCATTATGGTAAAGAGAATTAGATTTTTTTTAAAGGGGTCCTATTATGCTCTTTTACAAAGTCTTGATTTTGTTTTGGGGGTGTACTAGAACAGGCTCTCATACCAAGTTGTTCGAAAAACATTATTTTTGAACCCGGATGATTGTAACCACTCTAAGTTCGTCTGCCTTGGGAAAGATAGCGTGCCTCCGACATAGTGATGACACTCGTTGTCTTCTCTAGTGCAGCTCAACCAGGTCTCGTCCCATTCGTCGATCTTTGTGATCTCACAAATCCCGGAAAATATGCGTTGTAGTCCAAACGAGTCATTCGTTGTAGTTTTTGAAAAGTGATTTCTGCTAAATAAAATATCTCCTTTTGAAGTGGACTTCGATCTTTTTTATGCTCAAACAGCAACATTACAGACTAACTAAAGTTGAAAAAGTGAAAAAGCATAATAGGACCCCTTTAACAACATAATGAGAATATTAGTTTCAATACTAATCAGTTTTAATTACATGATGAGAATTAAGTTTTTTTATCATTACATTGAGAATTGTGAGGCATAGGTGCTTGTGAATGGTCATGAAAATGTTGCAATGCAAAAAAAAAAAGTCCTATTTTCTCATAAATTTTTCTACTATGAACTAACCCAAATATGTTTTTGACCGTGTTTATGAGATTCCCATATGCAGCACTTGTGCAGAGTGTGAGTAGAGATGACTGCATTGTTGATAGTGAGGATGATCTGTTCTTTCCTGTGTGTGATAGATGTGTTTCTCACTGCTAGGTGTGTGTGTGTGTGTGTGTGTGTGTGTGTGTGTGTGTGTGTGTGTGTGTGTGTGTGGTGTACAAACTCTCCTTCACACCATCTCTGTAGCCTGCAGTGCATTCCTGACTTCCTGTCCCTAATCCCCACACACACACACACACACACATACTCAAAAGAGCAGGCGACCCGACAGGCTGGTGGTCTTAACCTTTGATCCCTGTAGGGTTCACGCTGGTTACACAGTGATTTTTGTTATGAACACTCTTTTGCGTGTGTGTGTGTGTGTGTGTGTGTGTGTGCGTGTGTGTGTGTGTGGGAATCTTGTCCCTCAGTAACAGGATCTCACACAGGCTCTGTGTGGATTCGAACAGGGATATATGGACTACAGACACAATGTAACACTAATGCTGTAATGTTTTGAACTGATCCTGAACTGAGACTCCACCTCTGCTTCTGTGCTTTGACAGTTTCAAGAAAGCATCTTATTGGTGCCTTACTTAACCTACACCTCAAGGTTCTTGCAATTTAAAAGATGTCTGTCAATGAGTAACTCGTTTAAAGGCCTCTAGTTAAGAGTAGACCTACACGGAAATAGCAGGGTGGAAAATCTGCAGGACTGTGTGGAGTGGATGTAATTAAGCAGAGCGGAGAGAAATAACTGAAAGCATAATAAAATGATCCATAATATTTACAGGGTCAGTTCACTCAAAAATGAACACTCTTTCATCATTTACTTGAAACCTGTATGAGTTTCTTTCCTCTGTTGAACACAAAAGAAGATATTTTGAAGAAGGTTGCTGGTAGCCATCCACTTCTTCTTCATACTGTGGAAGTCAATGGCTACCAGCAACGTTTTGGTTACCAGCTTTCTTCAAAATATCTTCTTTTGTGTTCAACAGAGGAAAGTAACTCATTCAGGTTGGGAATCCGCTTCCAATGTTGATATCCATTTGATTACTAAGGATTTGTCCCTGAATTAAACTAAACACAAGATATGGCCATTTCATTCAGTTAAACTGAATTATCAGAATTGTTGTGTCAGTTGCTCTTTTTTTAGTTTGTGGAAGTGAGAGTGTCTGCAGATCTCAACAGTGTTTGTGGCATGCGCTCATTCATACATGAACATTTACTGTATTGCCACGTGCCATAAAACTCCTCCTTTCTTTCTCTTTCTCTCTCTCTCTCTCCTCCTCTGTCCTTCATTTTCAGACGAACATGATGCCGTACAGAAAAAAACCTTCACGAAGTGGATCAACGCGCAGTTCTCCAAGGTAACGGTGCCGGCAGAGCTCGTGCTGAACTTCTGAACTTCTGCTTCGATGGCTGATCTCAGTGTGGCGTCTCGTGAAGAACCACTCACGTTCTGCCGGCGATCTGAAACTGTTGTGTTCTTCTCTTAAGCAGGAATGCACTCAAGGCTCCTCCTCTTCAGTATATCGTGAATATAGTCAGCACTGAAGTGCTTGTTAGGCGTGACATGCAGAGACTGTATTAACAACAGCTCGACCTTCAGTGTCTTATAAAACGCCTGTCACACGAGGGAAATATAAAGGACACAAATATTCTTCAAAGTATCATTTTATTAAATTCATGGATTCATCCATCTAAAATTAACACTTTTATTCATCTAGGATACATTAAATAGTTCTAAATCGTGATTTATATTTCAAATAAATGCTGTTCCTTTGAACTTTCTGTTAAAGAATCCTAAAAAATATATCACAATTTTCACAAAAGTATGAAGCAGCACAATTGCTCTCAACAATCAGAACAATCTAATCAGAAACGTTTCTTGAGGTAATATCAAGGCCACAAATATTCTTCAAAGAATCATTTTATTAAATTAATAGATTCATCGGCCCAAAATTAACACTTTTATTCATCTAGGATACATTAAATAGTTCTAAATCGTGATTTATATTTCAAATAAATGCTGTTCCTTTGAACTTTCTGTTAAAGAATCCTAAAAAATATATCACAATTTTCACAAAAGTATGAAGCAGCACAATTGCTCTCAACAATCAGAACAATCTAATCAGAAACGTTTCTTGAGCATCAAATCAGCATATTATATATTTTGATGGCTTTCCAGTGAAACTAACATTCTGCTTTGTTTTTCCTTGACCAACTTGACCAATGAATGTAACTAGCGTTACTTTACTGTTATGTGTTGCAGACGGGGAAGGCGCCCATCAAAGACATGTTCTCTGAGCTGAGAGACGGCAGAAAACTCCTCGATCTCCTGGAGGGGCTGACTGGAAACACACTGGTGTGTGTGTGTGTGTGTGTGTGTGTGTGTGTTTGATGGTTGGGAGGGTTTGAATAGCACTCTAGTGTAATGTATCTGAATTATGTGTTTATATTTAGCCTCATCCAAGCACTGATTCTGAGTTACACACACACACACACACACACACAGCGTTTGAGTGACAGAGGCTGTAAGCTTCATCTTCATCACTCGTGATTACAGTGTTTTATTTCCACACGATCCCCTCATGTGTATGGAACGATATTCCGGACTATTTTCAAAAGGAATTGCAAATTGTATTTTCAATTGCGTTTCCCATATGTGGACGCATAAATTGTGACATAATTCAAAGGCAATTGCAAATCCTGCATTAGCGTTTGCATTTTTGCTTTCGCGAACGCACAGTGACTTCCAAATTTCAAATGAAAAAGCAAAGTCCATTTGCAACTATTTCCCATGAACGAAACACAAACCGACAGTGCAAATCTATACTTATTTTCCACCTTACTTTATATTTTATTCAACAGTTTTAATCCGTTATGGAGTTTGCGTCCCGTACGTGGCACCGAAGCGTTGCGCCTGCCTCAAGATCTCTCACTATTTACAGCCACTGGACACCGCGATTGATGCAGGTGATTTTTAATGTTATCTTGCCTTGGCTGTGGCGTGTTCTGTGACAGCTGCACCTAGATCTGACTTCTGAAGTGTCATCTGGGGCAGGCAGAGTAAGAGTAGCAGCATTTTTAAGAGTAAGAGTAGAGATCTTGAGGCAGGTGCATATAGACTGTGTATTTCCGTGCACTGGTATATTTGCACATGAAAATTTTAATAAAATATCACATTTTGTTAATTTAGTGAAAAACGGTGTAGAAAAGATTTTTAATTCTTTCCTCAAGTATTTTAAATCAGTTTGTCAAAGTCTGTTTGTTTGAAATGGTTCTTCATATAAAAAAAAATTAAAATAAACAATCACCCTTGAGTAATTTTACAGCAAATACAATCTATATCAACACATATATTAAATATCGACGAAAGAGGGGAAAAAACTACACCACCGTTGAAAAGTTTGGGGTTTGTGTATTATTATAATGATACTTTTAATTCAGCATGATGCAGTAAATTGATGACATTAGAAACATTTATAATCGAAAGCAAAAACACTTTATTTGGCCTTCCGAAAGTAGATGCATTTAGGAATCTTTAAGATTACTTACAACAGAACAGCAATGCATTTTATGGACGACCGTTTCGTGAACCTAGGAGAGGAGGTAATTATGACTTTGCTATGACAATCTGTCGCTTCTGAATCAGCTACTGTTTTGTTATTAGTTTAAGTATTTGCTATTGACTGTTCAAATGCGGAGTTTTGCGCATCGTGTGTGCGCGAGCGAGCGCAAGCGAGAGAGAGAGAGAGAGAGAGTCACATCACATCACATCACAGGAGTCAGCTGTCTTAACCGTGGCTTGTGTACTGCAAACACATACCAGCTTCATCACTGTGTCTGTCACTTCCCCTTTCGGGCTCTGTCTTTACATTTATTTTGAAAGATGAAGCTCGCGATTATGGTAAGGGGCATTACATTT